CCTAAGATGACAAAAGTTGAACTTTTATTTTTCTGGAATGGATGTAAATGTAGCAAGCATGAGTTCAAAGAAGTCTGGGAATCATTCCAGGAAGAACTATGATGACCAGGGTGTTTAAGCCGTGAACTCCTGTCATATCAATATCTCCTCATTTGGCACTGACAGCCTTTAAAAATGCCAGCGCAAATGAAAAGGAAAAGGAATAAAAGGATATTCAGATCAGGAATTTCACATAGACCCACCCTCCTGGTTTTGAAACCACTGATTTTCAGTTCTGGTCACTTGTACTGTTAAGTTCATCACCATATTAAAGACCTGGCTGTAACAGTACAGGGTGTTCTGCTGATAATCTTGGCATGAGAGGTAGCCCCAGGGGCAGAGAATGTGTGTGGGATGAGTTTCAGAAGTACTTAATGAAAAGCTCATTGCTGCAAGAGAATAAACGATATCATCAGTCCAGTTCTCATAGGAATATGAAGTCTTGGTTAGGACTCAGACAGTGCTTAGGACATGAGCAAGGCCATGTGAGCTCTTGCACTGTGCAGGAGTGCTTGGATAACACAGAAGTTCCCTTCCTGTTTTTGTTCTTTCATTGTAACCTGATGCTTTGTCTCTCAATTTAAAAATAAATTAATAAGGAGAGGTGTTTTCAAGTATAACTAGCTCTCTGTGGTGGGTGAACTATTGCTTCCTTTAGTAATTTGGACTGAACCATTGAGCTTTTTGGTCCTAACTTGGACCAGTCTGCCCAAGTGTGATAAGAACACACAGCTTCCTCAGGGGTCATGAGTCTGCACTTGCAAAGGTGAACTGGAGAACCAAGCCAAGCCAGGATACAGCATTTTCTTCCCAAGGCCCATTTGTTTGGTTCTGGTGTCTATTTCTCATTAACACAAGCTGTACAGAACTATTGATTCTGCTGGAACTGCTCATGACAGTTACACACCGTATCATGTGGTGCACGCAATTTGCTTGTGAGCTGGGTCCCATGATAAGCACACGCTCAGTCACGCAGAGGAGGGATGCCATGGGAGGTGTCCCTCCCCAGCGTCCCTTAGAGCTGTTCCCCCACAGCTCCATTGCCGTGCTTGCCAGCCCCCCCTTACAAACAGGAATGGTGTGGATCACACTTCCATTGGGTTGGACTAGATGACCTCTAGGGGTCCCTTCCAACCCAAAACATTCTGTGATTCTATGAACTGGACAGGGCCTAATAACAAAAAGGACTTGGTTTTGGGGAAGAATACCAGATTCTGTAATCTCTATGACCTTATAGATTGTAAGCAATGAATCTCTGCTCATTTTACGTTCTGGAGCATTATTTGTGGAAGCATAAAATGTTATGTCATCCCATTTGTTCTGGGGCGAGGGAAGTGTTTAATCAGTCATAGGTTACTATGAAGATCATGTCTGATGATAAAAAGAAGAGAAAAATCAAACTTGTCCCACTGGTTATGGGGTTTTGGGTGTTTCTAATTACATTCTTTGACAGATGAAAACAAAAGTAACAAAAAGTGTTTGTTGGCTGTTAAGAAGTACTTCTATCCACAAAGGCAAGACAGTGAGTGCACAGGTGCACAGATATGCACACAAACACAGACACACGCACCTGCGGGGCCTGTATTTAGATACTTCTGGTTTCCTGACTAAAACCACTAGGTTTCTAGGTGCTGCCCTACAGAATTCTATATGCTAAATATTATTCCCTGCAAAGATTTCTTGTTTTTTAAACCTGTGATATGTTGCTAGATTTCCTATTAGGTGAGTTCAATTTTAGTAAGCTTAAATCTTTTTCAGGATTTAATGCTTCAGATGGTTTCTTTCTGAGGTTTGCCTAACGTACATATTTGTGTCTGTTTTCCAGGTTTAGCCTATGCTTTGCTGGCAGCTGTTCCCCCAGTATTTGGCCTATATTCTTCGTTTTATCCTGTCTTTCTATATACTTTTTTTGGAACCTCCAAGCACATATCAATAGGTATATCTATATGGATAACTGAAAGTCTGTGTGTGTGCATGTGTTTAATAAAACTGTAAAAAATAAAATTGGAGAAATAGGAAGTGTGGTTGTTTCCCATAAATTCAAATTTACGTGAATAGGAGAAACACAAATGTGTCAAACATTAGCAGTACTTTTTATTGTTGATTTATCCGTCCTACTTAGATAGGAATAGAAGAACATCCTTTGTCATATTAGATCTAGAAATGTGTGCTGTGAACTCCTGAACTATAATTTTATCACTGCAGTCAACTGTCTGTGTGGCCAGGATGAATCTTTCATTTGCATAATAGAAACTGAGACAGAAAAAAACAACAGTGATTACTTCCCATGGAGGTGTATGTTCGCCATCTAACTAGCTGTAATGGTGTTGAGTACTGGAGCTGATGTTGGGACTAAAAAAATACAATATTTAGGTAGAAAACTCTATTATAGTTTAATTCTACATATCTCTTAATAAGAACCACTCCTAAGAAAACCCACCCGCCAGGATTTTAACCAATTATTTTCCTCTCCCTCTTATTTCAGGCACCTTTGCTGTGATTAGTATGATGGTTGGCGGTGTTGCTGTGAGACAAGTGCCTGATGAAATTACTTCTGTAGGCTATAATTCTACTAATGTTACAGATTCCTTTGATTACCATGAAAGGGATACCAAGAGGGTACAGGTAGCTGTGACTCTCGCCTTCCTTTCAGGAATTATCCAGGTATGTGCTTGCAGTTTGCTGTAAGGGCAAGTGCAGATGCTGCTGCTAGACTTGCAGTTGCAAGGGGTGCTGGTTGTGGCGGATGCCCTGTCAGTGGACTTGTGCTTCAGCACTGCACTGTGTAGAATACAGGCTGCTTCGTGGCAGCCGCGTAATGGAAGTGGGGAGGTATACATTGGAGCAAGTCTTTGTCTGGCATCTTGGCTTGACTGGGAAAAATGGGACCTTCCCCCTTTCATTTTTTCCTATGTCATCAGAAAAACTCAACCTGATGTTCTTTAATCTGTCCACAAATGCATACAAACGCATATGTTTGCCCATACCCCACATTGCACCTGCCAGTGGCATGGAAGATTTGGTGCACTGATGGCTGCTTACTGAACCGTGGCTTTAGAAAGGCCAAATTCAGGTTTGCCTGGTCTAGCTTGGGCTTTGAGAGGTAATAAGAGGTGTCCTGTGGCCTGTCTGCTGCATAGTGCTGATGTTCAGTCTACAATGTGAGTCACATGGTTAATATTTCTCTTCTTCATTAGTTGTGTTTAGGTCTGCTTCGATTTGGATTTGTAGCCATCTATCTAACGGAGCCTCTGGTGCGAGGATTTACTACTGCTGCTGCAGTTCATGTCTTTACTTCTCAGTTAAAGTATCTCCTTGGCATTAAGACTAACCGATACAGTGGACCCCTCTCAGTTGTATATGTGAGTAACTACGTTTACTGAACATGCAAATTCTGCATTGTCTGTATCTAGTACTTAAGCCTTTTCCTATTTTTTTTATTATTATTTTGGCACTAAGTAGAATAATGCTTCAGTCTGCAGAACTGGGTATGAGGTTTTTATGTGCCACAGCAATATACGAGCATCTTAAAGTGCAGCTTGGGTGTGACTTGATAGATCAGTGTGGTCTGAGATGGGCAGATTTTAGGATTCTGATAACTGTAGTTTTGTAATATGAACAGATCATGTTCACTAAAGCAAGTCTCTTTCTTGTACTTTGTGGGAAAATGTGCTACTGAAATGCTTTCCTGTAGACCACACACGTTTTGCAAAGCTAGGAAATGTTACTCTCGGAGCCTTGCCTAGTCTGTATTTCTTTAATTTCACACACAGTTCCTGATAGGAGTATTCTTCGTTTCCTGTTTATAAGCTGTTTTGTAGTGCGGTTGGACACAAAGTGCTGTGTCACCATAAATGTACCTGTTCTTTAGAGTAGTAGGAAAAACTATTTTGAAATAAGGACACTCGCTGTAAAACACTGCTATCTATTGAAGACCCTAAGCATTAAAATTGATTGATTGAGATTGACTGAGAGCATGTAGGGGACCCAGTATTTGACATAGCTCATACCCTGATCTTCCATTTGCCTTCTGTCTAACACATAAGTGATGAGCGAGCACAGAAGAAAAACCATGCAGTGTAAAGCTGGGATTTGGTTAGTATGACTTAAGGAAAACCAAAAGCTCTTGTTTACTTGAATTTAAAATTGACAGTTGTGCTCTGAAAAAAATGTAATGGATCCCATGAAGCAAATGATTTGTTTAAAGGGATGTTTCTAATTGAAATCAAAACCCAAAGTTTTTGAGTTTATATCAGCATTACTTGCGGTTCATAACTTGCTGTTATGACAAGCACAGTTGAAATGCATCTGAATCTGATTTGCCTGCTAGTCTAGGAAGCCCCAAGTTTTTATCGCAAAATTGATGCTCTGATTTTGCAGACAAGTCTCTGATACCTGTGAAAACCCAAGCTTTTGAGCAGACTGATGGCTCAGCAATAATGAAGCTTTGGGATTTCAACTACTTGGAGGCTATAGAAAAATACTTTGTGGAATCTTTCTTTTATATTTGTGCAAACCTTTTGGAAACAAGGCTGCACTAATGATTAATTCCTAAATTTGCTGTTTGGTTCACTAATCTGGAAACCAGACATACTAACTGCCAAACAAATAGGAGGGAGAGTGTACATTCAAGATGTACTACCAGGACATCTTGAATGTATAATATCCTGATAGTTGCTGTGATTTTCCTTCTGTCTAAAGAAGGGTATGTACATCTTCTTTCAAAGATCTCTCCAGATATCATTTATTTATTTTTATTTTTTTAAATGAAGTGGTCTTCCACTTCAGGTGGTCTTCCACTTCAGGAGTAATTGGTAGGGGAATCACTTACCCTCTAGTAACTTGTCTGTTCCAGCAAGCTTTCTTTTCTAACACCCTTTTAATAGGGTTTTCAACTAAAAGATATTTGGAATAATGGCCAGTTCAGCAGTGTTGCAAGGTCAGTTATTTAATCATATTGCTATGGTAACCTCAATGGTTGTATCAGCAGCTTTATCATTTTAGAATGGTTTATGCACCTCTAAGTAGATGTGACTTGCCAAAGCATATTTGAAGGTATTAGAAGGAGTTTGCGTTTATTGCTTTCACATAGTTGCCAGTATGAAATATGTGTGAAAATCTTGAGGATAAAAGATGTGGTTTAGTGTAGACTTTTCCCCCGTGGTAGTGTTTTCTCCAAATTTTGCCCCATTTGAGGAAGACTATTACTGTAAATGATTGCAAGTGCATCAAAAGCATGAGATACTACGAACTCCTGTGTTTTGTGGAAACAATGGGGATTTTGGTGAGGCACTGGTTCATTGTGGTTATAAATACAGAATAAAACCACAGCTGAACAGCAGTGTCTAATTTGCTCTTCTGTGGCAAATCTCTATAAAGATTATATTTTCTTAGGAATAACTATGATACTTCTGGTTTGTTACAGAGCATAGCTGCTGTGCTTTCAAAAATAACGACGACCAATATTGCTGCATTGATTGTTGGATTAACATGCATTGTTCTATTGTTGATTGGCAAGGAAATCAATCTCCGCTTTAAGAAGCAGCTCCCAGTTCCTATTCCTATGGAGATCATTGTGGTAAGCCAGTTGTGAAATTCTATAGTTAAATTACATAACCATTCTAAAGCTGTAGAAACTTATCTCATTTTCTGTCAAGTCTTACTGAGCTTTAGAGTAACTTATGTTGAACATAGTTCATTTGAGGCTTGATCCAATTGAAGGTTTGGATACTCAGAAGGTTAGGGACTGACATGCCCAAGTTTTAGGCATAGAGTCCCAAAGAAGAATTGAAAACCCAGTTAAACACCCACAGTCCCCTATGGCAATGGGTAGGTAGAGATTTGTTGTAAAACCCACTCTATCCTGGAGTTTCGGCACCTGAATGATTCTCCTTGAGACATGCCTCTGACTGGCATTTCCCACCTGGAGTCCAAGAGCCCCTCCTGAAGGAACCCCATCTGAAGGAAGGTGCTTACAGGTGCCTGTTTCAGAGGCTCTGCAGGGCTTGCTTTTTAAAATGCAGTTGTAGAAGGAAGAGTGGGAACCAGTGGGACTTAATACTTAACCTTCCTTTCTCTGTGACTGAGACTGATAACTGACTGCAGTCATTGAATGACTAAAATACATGGATAAAGCAAATTATCTTAATACACACAAAGCCCACATCTCAGATAACCTTTCACCTTTAAAAGTGGTTGGATTTAAAAATGAGTTCTTGGATAACTAGAGCTCTCAGATAACCTGCACAAAATCAGAGCCGAGAAAGGGAATAACTGAAGGTATGGGTACAATCTAGATAGAAGGAACAAAGAAAAGGGATGGTGTTGAAAGATGATGGAGGTGGTGTAATAGGGTATTTCATAGTGAGACAATAGCAGAGCAATCTTACACCTGTTCCTTTCATTGCTGCTGCACCGGTTTTGTTTACAGATAGCATGCAGGTAATGCACATGAAAATATTGCAGTGCAGATGTCCTTGGCTTGTCCTTGCATTTAATTTCCCATTACACTATTCTGCCTGAGCTTGGCTCAGGCAAAGGGAATTTGAGTGATTCAGATCATACCATAGCATGTTCCATTTAACTGTTTCCAAGAAAACTTTATAAAATCAGTGGGGGTTGAACATGATGGAGGGAAAATCATTATGCTTCCTCTTTTTTATCTGCTTCTTTATTCCCTAACCCTTAGAAAACTGAATGACAAATAAACGTAATCCCTTGTGTGTATTATTCATAATCAGCTAACTGTTAGTTCTTCAGGTGGCTTTATCTCTTCCTAGCTGATGTTTACAAATGTGTTTGTGGATTTTTAGGTAATTATTGGCACAGGAGTTTCAGCTGGAATGAATCTGAGTCAGTCATATGGAGTGGATATTGTTGGGAGTATTCCTCAAGGGTAGGAATGATATATTCTTATTCAAGCTATGCCTTTTCTGTATGGTGTGTAGCTTTTATTATAGTAATTTGTAAATATTTGTTTCATCTCCAAGGTTACGTCCACCAGCAGTTCCTGAGATTCAGCTCATCCCAGCAATATTTGTGGATGCAATAGCAATAGCAATAGTTGGATTTTCAATGGCTGTGTCAATGGCCAAGATCTTTGCCCTTAAACATGGTTACACCATTGATGGGAATCAGGTAAAAGTATTGGGGTTGCTTTGTTGAAAATTCTCAGTAGCACCTTTGTTACGTTACCAAAGTAGAAGGGGATATTGGACAAAAATGAGGTTTTCTTTTGTAGTGGAATCAGGTCAGGTTTTTGACAGCCTACACATTTAAATGCCAGGAATTATTTTGAGTTCTTCTTCTGGTGGTGTTTTAATAACCATTTTCACTTTTAGCTTCATTTTGGGAAACTTACTTCTGTTAGACTTGGACATATGCATGAATATTAATTGTTGGGGCAGACATTACTTAGCCTGCTGTCCTGATGGGCAGCTACTTTATGTCTGCTTTCTGTAAGAGAGCGAAGCATAGAGTTCCCATGTGATAAATACAATGCTTTATGTGTCAAAGAACTATTATCTAAGGTTTAGAAATTCCAGTTATGTTTTATAGTTTCTTTTTATTCCCACCCATTGCAAATAGGCAGCTTGTCATTTTCTGGGGCAGCAATTGGCCCTGTCCGTAGTTAGCATTCTGATCATGATTTGAGTGATAAAGACTGTGGTTAGGGACTTTCTAAACTAAAACAATGCATCATTCTCACCTACTCTGCCCTTCCTGTGCCATTTGGAATCAATATTGCAATTGGATTGTTGGTTGATATCATTGTGGTGCCAGGGGAGACAGAGTTCATGTGCTGTAACTCATTTCCTAGAGCAAGTATCTGACACCGCACAGATCAGATCAGCTGTTCCCCCTTCTCAAAATGGCTATCTTTCTCTGAGAGTAAATGGAGTTTAAATTACTTTTACCTACAGAGTTTTACATCTGGCCAGTTGAATCTCACCCTTCATATCATTTTTGGTTACCCAAAGAGAGAAGAGGACAAATCCGTAGCTGCATGAATGGCATCAACGATATTTACATTAGTTAAAGTAATCATCGCTGATCTGAGTTAAGCATCTAGATCTTTTCCCAAGGAGGTGTCAGATGCTACTTCACCTGGATGTTAAACTATAGAACTCCTTGTCACCTCATGCAGTGCATGCTGAGTGTTTAAATGAATCAAAAAAGGATTGTACAAATGCAAAGAGGAAAAACTCATTGAGAACTATTGAAAATATGTAACTCAAATCATGTCAGTTACAAATAGCAGGATGCAGAGTGACTTGGGGAGGCCTCATTACAAGCAAATGCTTTCTTAAGTGTCAGAAACACAATACTGAGATAGATGGACCTCTGATCTTGCAAAATGTTTTTTTTTTCATGTACAGCAATGGATTACCACCTTTGGAAACACAGCCAAGGCTGTTCTTAGTTCTAGTAGTACTAAACAGATAGTTAGAGAGGGAAGCAAAGAACAATGTTTCTATAAGAAACCCTTTTCCATGTATATTCAGTGTTAAAATTCAAATTATCCCCAAGTTGAAGAAATCCTCAAAGCAAGCAATGCTGTCATTCATTTTAGTTTTCAGTGTGACTCATTACCGTAACATTGAAGGATGGGAAATGTCTTGAACACTTCATCAGATACATGATTTAACTTTATTTAACAGATAATTTAACATGCATCAACTTGGCATGTGTGAGAACCGCAAGTATAAGCTACAGTAAGGTTGATTATTCTCTACAATAAAGTTGCTAGAAAGCACTGTAAATAAGATGTGCTTCTTAATATGTATGGATAGCTCCAGCTTTGTACAGTTGCTAGGTATAACTGCCTTTTTTTTTTGCTCTATTGTTTAATGCAGGAACTTATTGCCTTGGGAATATGCAACTCTGTGGGGTCATTTTTCCAAAGCTTTTCAATCACTTGCTCAATGTCTCGGAGTCTTGTTCAGGAAAGCACCGGTGGGAAAACTCAGGTATGTAAACCCAAATTTTGAGCCCAGCAAAGTATGCTTTTTGGAGCTCCAAAGCTAAAGTCTGAAGCTTCAATAGATTGCCAGGTTTCTCTGCCTGGGGCAAAAGGAATAACTGGAATTTCCCATGTTCCTGGCCAGGTTGGGCCAGGGTAGCAGGCTGTACAGCAGTCACAGTGGAGGAACTGAGTGGGAGGGATCAAAAGCCACTTGAACAAACAGCTTTGTGGAAAGCACAGAAGGGGTTAGCTGATCTTGCCCTTTGGGGACACTTCTTAATACTCTGACACCTCTTCTTGCTGCTTTTGTTCAGATTGCAGGTGCGCTCTCTTCAGTTATGGTTCTGTTGGTGATTGTGGCTATTGGATACCTCTTTGAACCGCTTCCACAGGTAAGGGAGTTTTGCCTGTCGGGCCTTGCATTGTCGGTGAGCAGGCCAGTGAGTATTGCTTAAAACAGAGATTGCAGGATCACTAGTAAGAAAACACAGTTCAAACATAGGAATTCTGGGAAGAGGTTAAAAAGTTACTGTCTTTTAAAGTAACAGCTCAGCTGGGAAGGGGTTGGGGCTAGATGATGACTTAGCATAAGAAGTTATTTTTTCTGCAGTTTTAGTTATTTGTGTAAAAATACATGAATAAAGAAGGGGTTGGGGCTAGATGATGACTTAGCATAAGAAGTTATTTTTTCTGCAGTTTTAGTTATTTGTGTAAAAATACATGAATAAATATATTCTCCAAAAAAAAAAAAAAAAAAAAAAACCTGGTTCTGGGGTGTGCATAGGATGATATGCAAGTCCTGGGGTTTTTCATAGGATGTGTACCTTGGGTTACACCTACATAATACTTGCAGGAAATGTTGCAGTATATTGTAAACTTGAATTTGAGATATAGCCTAGCTGCTTCAGGCACTACAGGCACTATAATTGCATGGAACTCAGGAATATGTGATTTCTTCTGCCAGGAAAGAGTAAATCAAACTGTACTGACTCTGGCTTCTCATTTCTGCAGCTCCAGTAAGAGCATGGCTCCACTGAACTACTTGAAAAGTTGTTTTTTTAAGGGAACATCTGTTCAGTAGACTTATATCAGTTGTACGAAGCACAGAAATATGGTTGTTTGTGATGCTTTGAAGTTATTTGGCATTGGGTTTATTTTGCTTCTGAAATTTGTATTTCTGTAATATTCATAGACAGTGCTAGCTGCAATTGTAATGGTGAACCTGAAAGGAATGTTTAAACAGTTTGGAGACATCGCGCACTTCTGGAGAACCAGTAAAGTTGAACTGGTAAGCAATACATAGCTCAGTGCAAATATTTTACTGTATTAAATTTGTTGTTCCTCTTCTTCCTAACACCCAAAACAGCATAGAAACTTATCAAGGAGTTACAAATTGGTGTTGCACTGCAGATGAACATAAGACATGGAGCTGTAAGTACCTTAGAAGAGTGATCTGTTGCAGACAAGACTGTTTTTGCTGTTGTTCAACAACCTTTAACTCAGGTCAGAAGTAGTTTGGTTGCAGTAAAAGCAAAGCTTTTGCAGTGTTGCTATAGGAACTGCACTGATGGCTGTGGGACTCTCTGAGAAGAATTTGAAATACAGAATAACAAAGGAAACTGCTTGAAGGTATTTGCCATGTTTTAAGATAAACCAAAGACCTGGCTGGAGTGGGCCAGAACTAAGAGTGTATCGCAGGGAACAATTTGGTGGCATTTTTCTCCTGGATTAACTGGCTAATGGAAGTAAGTGAGAGCTGCTTGCAGACCTTGCTTTTTTTTTTTTTTTAATCCTAAGGTCTTTGGAGTCTGATGGTAACACAGGATTCCTTGGAGAACAGGACTTCAGACATTAATATGTGACAGTTTTTCAGATGTCATGTTAGTGCGCCTTGATCTTTTATGCCCTTCTGAAAGGTTGAGGGAATTACAGTCTGCTGTCATGATGGATTACGTTATAGCCTATTCCTGAACAGAAATGATACATAGGTTTGAGGCTGAATTATGCTATTGTTTTTGCTGTTAACAGATAAGAATGCATAATAATTCAGAGCTTTTCTTTGTTTTAGGCCATCTGGGTGGTAGCTTTTGTGGCTTCTCTTTTCCTGGGACTAGACTATGGTTTGCTTACTGCAGTAGCGTTTGCAATGATAACCGTTATTTACAGAACACAAAGGTCAGATTTCTTCTTTATCAAAATTAGTGTTTGCTGATCTTCTATCTGGTTTTGTTTGTTTAAGGGGTGCAAATAAGGAGAAGACCTTTCCAGCCTCTTCAACTGCATGCAGTATAGAATCTGCTTCATACTGTAGATCATGCCCTGTGGCTCTGATCCAGGGTTCACATTGTATTTTTCTGAGAACAAAATTTCTAGGGGGCATGAAACTTGCAATTTCAGTAATAAACAGAAGATTTTTGGTTTCTTATATTGGTTAATCTTCTTGTTTACTTTTTTAATGCCTGGAGTTCAGAAATTCAAATCTGCTTGATGCTAGTTTCAGTGAATGATTACGTTTTGTGTGCACTAATAGTTACAGTCAAGCAGAAGTTGTGTTGGGTTATCACTAGATGAATGTTTAGGTATTTTATAAGAAAGTTCTAACTCGTCAAAAAATTGTGCCTGCCCTTCTAGTTTTTCAAATCACTTCTCCTCTCCCCCCATTCAAAGTGACAAAGTTTTTACTGTGAAGCTTTCCAGGTCTACAGCAAAATGATTTCTGCATACGTGGATAGGACTGTTACGTGAGGCTTCCAGGCTCAAGGTCTGGGATATCCAAGTGGGAAATGTATAAAACTCTTGGTTTCAGTCTGCATTGGAATGAAACCAAATTCCAAGATCTCTGCTCTGCATAAATGAGAGTCTTTTTCTGCCATCTCCATATGGTTTTGTTCTTGCAAACAAAACAGTAATGCACTTGGCTGTCACACTGCTTGTGAGTTGGGAATATTCATCTTCTCAGGCACTGTGCTGGGAGCAGAGTGGCTCTTTGAAATTGCGACATGTTTTCTGCCAATATGAATTTTCACGTTTGTCAAGATAGTCAATGGAGTTGCACCTGTTCACACCAAAGAAAATTTGCCCTGTACCTTTTGCATGCTTTGGCCCATGCTTCTCAGAAAATGGTAACATTACAGTGCTAAGTTTCTAAATTGTTTTTGCACTGACAGAAGCAAACTTGTCTGGTCGCTACATGGCCCCTTCATTATGTTCCTGCCATAAACTGCCCGCTACATTTGACCATGTTTAGGTAAGCCTGTACCAGGCAGGCACTGCAGAATGACTAAAATAAGTTTCAATCTGTACTGAATACTCACTGTCCCCCTTTATAACACCGAAACATTTGCTTCCATTTCTTTCTAGCCCTCAATACAGAATCCTTGGTCAGATTCCTGACACTGACATCTACTGTGACGTGGAAGACTACGAAGAGGTAGGAATGTATTCTTCTGCACTGAAGAGTTTCATGTAGCGGAGCCAAGACAACTGTGGCGATTTGCTGCTTAGCCCTACCATATTACACATGTAGTGCTGTCTGCCTGACATTCACCTGTGTTGAAGGGGAAGAAAATAAGTTTAATCTTAGTAGTAAAAGCTACTTTGTTCAAAATGCTAGCTTTTTGTACTGCATGTGCATTTGACCAGGAGGTGGTCAAAAGTAGCCTTTATAATAGTTCCATTGTACTAGCTTGTACAAAATGGTAAGGTTTATGGGAATACCACTGCTAAACCTGCTATATACACAAGTGCATACAAGGCCACCTTCTTTCCTTGTGTGGCCGTATTGCATGAAATCCATGGAACCCCAAACCCGAAGGGATCTGTTCTTCAGAATTGCACAAAATCTTCAAAATAGCATCTCCCTGCCTCCACCCATCCCCTGCTCATTAAATATTCATGATTAATGGCACAGTTGCTCACTGTGCACTTAGCTGCTTATAAATGCCATTTCATTCAACCAAAAGTTGGTGAAAGCAGTACATTTTTTCAATATAATAGATGTAGACATGGTGTATTTATTCACAAACAGCAACTACAGTTTTCTGCACTCTCTGCCACGTTCTCAGAGATGCTGCTAGAAGGTTACATCCCTCTTTAGTAAAAAAACAGTCTGTAAAAACCTCTGTGAAAAGATGATGCTATAATCTGAAAACATTCTCTCACCAGCAGTTCTGCTTTTGAATATGATACAAAGCAGAAGTATATGTGGGCATGTTTACAGCTGTATGCAAAGAGGAGACTCCATTTTTGTTATACTGAATGCAGTTAGCATTTCCTCCTCCTGTATGAAGGTGGGGTTGGCAGCATATGACGGGCTGGATCTCTGCTGTTGGCCAGGTCATTTGCATGTAAAATGTCAGAGTGCAGCTTGTTTAGAGATGACTTCATTTAAACTAGAAGAAAGAAGTCATATCGAGACCTTTCTGAAGGCCTGTTTAAAACCAAAGATTTGGAAGAGGAGACAAGAAAGAGAAGTATCAGTCAATATGCCTGTAGAAAGTGAGGCTAAAAGGAAGCATTCCTAGACCTGCACAATTTCCTAACGTTAATACCAGCTGCAGATAGCAACATCAGAAAACTGCAAATGTTTAGTTCCTTTCTGTGTCTGTACATTTCATTGTTATAAAGAAGGAGAAATGTTACATGGCATGGATTGC